CTTGTAAATGTGAATTTTTTAATAATTTTTTGGGAGTTATTATAATAAAAATATTTTTTTATTTTTGCCAATTACTGCAAAGCCTATAAAACCATTTTTTTGTTAGTTTTTAAAAATTTTTTTCATGGCATATAAATATAGATTTTCATAATTTCTGGGATTAAATTGGATTTTTTTTTTTTTTTTTGGTTTTTTTGAATATTTTTCTGGATTTTTTCAAGGCTGGATTTTTAAAAAAAATTTGGAATTTTACAATTTTTTCATTTTATTATTTAACGGATTTTTCTTAATATTTTTTTCGTAATTCGAAATATTTTTTGGAATTATTTCAAACATTGAATTGAATTTTTTCAAGGCCTTTATATTAGGAATTTTAAAATTATTTTTTGATTTTCTAAGGATTTATTTACTTAATTTTTTGTGAATTTATTGTTTCAATACTGAAAAGATGGGTTCCATTTTTTCAGGGTTTATAAACAAGTTTTAAAATATTTTTGGAAATTATTTCAAGGCCTTAAATTTAAATTTTATTATTTTATTGTTATATATATATATATATTTTTTGATTTTTTCAGGTCCGACAAACATGGATTTTTTTAAATACTTTTCGGAAATTATTTCAAGTCGTGGATTCTTCGAATATTTTTTGGGAAATTTTTTGATGACATAAAAACGGATTTTCAAACATTTTTTGAAAATTATTTCAAGGTCTATAAACGTGGATTTTTAAAGTATTTTTTGAGACATTTTTTAAGGCCTATAGATGGGGATTTTTTGAATTTTTTTTTTTTTTGGATTTTTTCAAGGCCCATAAACGTGGATTTTTTAAATATTCCTTGGGAAATATTTTAAGACCTCTAAACGTGGATTTTTTTAATATTTTTTGGGAAACATGTAAACGTGGATTTTTTGAATATTTTTTGGGAGACGTGTAAATGTGGATTTTTTGAATATTTTTTGGGAGACGTGTAAACGTGGATTTTTTGAATATTTTTTGGGAGACGTGTAAACGTGGATTTTTTAAATATTTTCTGGGAAACGTGGATTTTTTAAACAGTTTGTAAGAAACATGAATTTTTTTAAATATTTTTGGGAACCTGGATTTTTTTAAATATTTTTGGGAAACCTGGATTTTTTTTATATTTTTGGAAAACCTGGATTTTTTAAATATTTTTGGAAAACGTGGATTTTTTAAATATTTTTGGGAAACCTGGATTTTTTAAACATTTTTGGGAAACGTGGATTTTTCAATATTTTTTCGGAAATTATTTTATATATTTTTTGTGATTCATTTTAAGGCCTGTAAAGATGAATTTTTTAAATATTTTCTAAGACATGTATTATCATATATTTTTGGGGAAATATTTCAAAACCTATAACCGTAATATATATTTTTTTTTTTTTTTGGGGGGTGCGGAACGTTTCAAGACCTCTAGACGTGGATTTTTAAACATTTTCTGATTTTTTTCTTAAGGCCTACAAAAATGGATTTTTTAAAAAAATTTGAGAATTGAAGTCATATAAATTTATTTTATTTTTATTTATTTATTTATATATATTTTTTTTTTTTGATTATTACAAGGCCGTTAAACGTGAATTTATGAATGTTTTTTTCGTGAATATTTAAAGGCATTCTAAACTTTGATTTTTTTATTTTTGAAAATTAATTCAGGGCTGTTAATGTATTTTTTTTTTTTAAATTCATACGACCCAAAGTACCACATAAAAATCTTTGAAATAGGCATTAAAAAGGTAGTGCCTATTTTAAAGATTTTTATTTGACACTTTAGGTCGTATGAGTTTTGATGTTACTTATACGACTTAATACTATTTTTTCTATTACAATAAAAGATGCTACATTTTTTATTTTTATTTTTTTTATTTACTTATTTATTCTTTTTTTTTTTGAAGCTGTCAATTCTCGGATAAGAAATGAACAGAAAAGGAAACAAGACAGCCCAATACAAAGAGCTTAGGTTTTTTCGGATATATTAAAGAAAATAAAATAACAACGCTAAATGAAAAGAAGGTCAAAGGTTAAAATAACTTTGTTTGTTGTTGTTGTTGATGGAGGCACAGACAAATCAAAGTCATGGTTGGCTTTTTTTTGGTTTAAACATCCTTGATATTCTATGGAAATCTTTAAGGATTTGAGAGAGCAACATAAATATACCCAATCAACTTCAATAAAATCCTCTTTTATTTTGGATAAAAAAAAACCCTAATGGAAAACCCATTTGAAAATATTTCCCAATATTCTGGGCTGACATGAGTAGATAAAAACGTGTGGATGTGATGTGTGACAAGCGACAACAATGGTGTTGCTGATATATATTTTTTTTAAATTCTAATAAATAGCTCGGTGGTGACAAGCTTAAAGATTGGGTGGGAAGACAAATGCCAAAAAGGAAGTATTTTCAAGAAAAAAATATTAAAAAATATATAAAACATTAAAAGATAATGGATCGAATGAGTGATAAAATGACTCATACGCACCGCGGAATCTTAAAAATAATTGAATGTAAATTTAATTTTCAAACAATATTTTGGGCAATTTTTAAATAACTTTTTTCGGCAATATTATACATTCTGCTTTTTCAACATCGTATAGGGAACGTCCAAATGAGCTTTAAGAATTAGCTTTTTCATTATCACACAATGTGTTGTGTTGTCTTATTTAAGGACCTTCTACAATTTGTCCTTGGCAAAAATGCTTGCTACTCACGCACTTTACATAAATGGCCAAATGGAGAGAGATGGGGAGATGCCAAGTGAATCCAAACAAAACACACCTGTTTATTTTGCAATATTTGGGTTTATAATTTGTTATGGTTGTTTGTAAAGAAATAATGGCAAATGTCTGTTTGTCTGTCAGACCAGAAAACTTGGCTGCAAAATGGAAATTATACTCGTTTAACATGCGTCAGTCAGTCAGTTATATGTTTCGTTGGATTCAAGGATTCACAGTCTCTTCAAAGGATAAACATTTTTTCCCAAAAAATATTGGTTTGAAAAAATTACCAAAAGTATTAAAAAAAAAATTATTTAAAAATATTGACATATTTCCCAAAAAAAATTTTAAAAAATACACGTTTAGAGGTCTTAAAATATTTCCCAAAAAATATTTAAAAAATCAACGTTTAGAGGTCTTAAAATATTTCCCAAAAAAATATTTAAAAAATCCACGTTTAGAGGTCTTGAAATATTTCCCAAAAAATGTTTAAAAAATCCACGTTTAGAGGTCTTGAAATATTTCTCAAACATATTTTAAAAATCCACGTTTAGGTGCCTTTAAATATTTTTCAAAAATTATTTAAAAAATCCACGTTTAGAGGTCTTGAAATATTTTCCCAAAAATATTTTAATAATCCACGTTTAGAGGTCTTAAAATATTTCCCAAAAAATATTCAAAAAATCCACATTTAAAGGTCTTAAAATATTTCGCCAAAAAATATTTAAAAAATCCACGTAGAGGTGTTGAAATACTTCCCAAAAAATATTCAAAAAATCCACATTTAGAGGTCTTAAAATATTTCGCCAAAAATATTTAAAAAATCCACGTTTAGGGGCCTTTAAATATTTTCCAAAAAATATTTAAAAAAATCCACGTTTAGTGACCTTTACATATTTTCCAAAAAATATTTAAAAAAATCCACGTTTAGGGACCTTTAAATATTTTCCAAAAAATATTTAAAAAAATCCAAGATTAGGGACCTTTAAATATTTTCCAAAAAATATTTAAAAAATCCAAGATTAGGGACCTTTAAATATTTTCCAAAAAATATTTAAAAAATCCACGGTTAGGGGCCTTTAAATATTTTCCAAAAATTATTTAAAAAATCTACGTTTAGAGGTCTTGAAATATTTCCCAAAAAATATTTAAAAAATCCACGTTTTGAGGCCTTTAAATATTTTCCAAAAATTATTTAAAAAATCCACGTTTATGAGTCTTGAAAAATTTCCCAAAAAATATTTAAAAAATGCACGTTTAGGAGTCTTGAAAAATTTCCCAAAAAATATTTAAAAAATGCACGTTTAGGAGTCTTGAAAAATTTCCCAAAAAATATTTGAAAAATTCACGTTTAGAGAACTTGAAATATTCTCTAAAACATATTTGAAAAATTCACGTTTAGAGGACTTGAAATATTCTCTAAAACATATTTAAAAAATCCACGTTTGAGAGCCTTTAAATATTCTCTAAAAAAATATTTTAAAAATCCACGTTTGGAGCCTTTAAATACCCTTAAAAAAATATTTTAAAAATCCACGTTTGGAGCCTTTAAATATCCTCTAAAAAAATATTTTAAAAATCCACGTTTGGAGCCTTTAAATATCCTCTAAAAAAATAGTTTAAAAATCCACGTTTGAGAGCCTTTAAATATCTCCAAAAAATATTTTAAAAATCCACGTTAGAGGTCTTGAACTATTTTCCAAAAAAAAAAAATATTTAAAAAATCCACGTTTAGAGGTCTTGAAATATTTCCCAAAAATATTTAAAAAATCAACGTTTAGACGACTTAAAATATTTCCAAAAAAAAAAATAAAAAATCAATGTTTAGAGGTCTTGAAATATTTTCCAAAAAATATTTAAAAAATCCAAGTTTGAGAGCCCTTAAGTATCCACTAAAAAATATTTAAAAAATCCACGTTTGAGAACCTTTAAATATTCTCTAAAAAATATCTTAAAAATCCACGTTTGAGAGCCTTTAAATATCCTCTAAAAATATTTAAAAAATCCTTTAAATATTTTCAAATCCTTGTTAAAAAGATTTTAAATGTCCTCCAAAAAATATTTAAAAATCCGCATTTATAAGCCTTCAAATAATTCCCCAAAAATATTTAAAAAAATCACGTTTTCCTTCCTTGAAAGCAATTTAAAATTTCACTTTTATAGGCCATTATTTATTGCAACTAAAATTTAAAAAAAAAGTGGTTTCCCCTTTCCCCTCCCTCTTTAGCAATTAAATCCACTAATTATTTCTGGCAAATTGGACACTTACCTTATAGTGATTTCCCCAAACACACGGAGCAAATAAAAATGCCGTTGTCTATGGTTAGGGGCGTTATGTAGATGGAGAGGGGCGGCGAGAGAGTTTTCACAATGCCTGGCGTGGTATTGGCAAATGCCACCCACACAACCTGACCGTAATTTATGGGTGAAATACGAAATTTTTTTATGAAATATTTTTTTATGTTTGGCCAACGCCAAATGCCGGTGGGGCCGAACTTATGTCACTTTTAATGTTGTTGCCGTTGTTGGTGTTATTTTCTTTGTATTCTTTTAAGGGTCACTTTTTTATGGATTATTCCCTTTCGTGTGGCCCACTTTCAGGTTATTTATTTATGCTTTTATTTTATTTTCTAGGTTTTCGTTGGCTTTTCTATAATTCCATTCCAAATCAAATGAAAAAAAAATTCTAAAATAGCCAGGCAAAAATCACCAACACACGCCATGCATGTGCGTGAGTAAGGGGACATTAGACAAAATAAACAAAAAGAAAATATTGAAAATTTATGTAAACAAAAACACTATGGATCAATCACGCTCGCACAAACATCTACTAATTGAGTGGCAGTGAGACACACACAACAACAGAAAGACAAGCAAGAAAACACTTTTATATATATTTTAAATATTTTTTGTTTTAATTTTATATTTTTGTTAATTATTTTCTTGTTTTATTTTTTCTTTCTTTGATTTCATTTTTTCGCACAGAAATATTATGCACTTTCACTCACACAACAGCTATTCTCATTTATTTTCTTTATTAATTTATATCACTCATACGTTTGGCATTCGCCAAGATCCACGAACTGACATCCAAGCGAAAGAAAATACCCGAACACAACACAACCGTTCTCTTGGCGTTGTGTCAAAGAACTGAATAATATGTTTCCATTGGCATGATAAACAAGCAACTATTCAAACAACCACCATGCAACGGCAACAATAACAACAACACCAACACAAAACATTCATCCTTTCGTTTTCGTTTCATTTTGTTCGGTTTGGTTTGTTTTCTTTAACAGTAGTGCCATGTGGCTAAGTATTAGTGTAAGCGCCAAAATCCATGAAACCATGTGATTATTGTTTTGTTTTAAATTATGAGAGAGAGAGAGAGAGAGTGTTTGGGGGGTTTACTAGAGAGCTTTGGTAACATGTGTTCTCACACACGCAGACTCCCGGTTGTAATGGGTTTCTCTGAGCAAAATGAATAGAGACATCTAGAGACAAAATACGAAGATGCAAAAGCTGATTTTTAAGGGGCCTTTTTTAAAAGGATATAAAAAAAATTTAAATAATTTTTGGAAAGTATTTAAAAGCTTTTAAATTGGGATTTTTATATAATTTTTGGAAAATATTTAAAAGACCCTAAACGTGGACTTTTTAAATAATTTTTGGAAAATATTTAAAGGCCCCTAAACGTGGATTTTTTTTTAACAATTTTTGGAAAAGATTTAAAGGTCCCTAACGCGGATTTTTTAAATAATTTTTGGAAGGGGTCTAAACGTGGATTTTTTAAATAATTTTTGGAAGGCCCCTAAACGTGGATTTTATAAATATATTTTGGAAAATATGTAAAGGCCACTAAACGTGGATTTTTTAAATAATTTTTGGAAAATATTTAAAGGCCTCTAAATGTGGATTTTTTAAATCATTTTTGGAAAATAATTCAAAGCACCCAAACGTGGATTTTTTAAATCATTTTTGGAAAATAATTCAAAGCACCCAAACGTGGATTTTTTAAAATAATTTTTGAAAACTATTTAAAGGCCCCTAAACGTGGATTTTTTAAATAATTTTTGGCGAAATATTTAAAGGCCCCTAAACGTGGATTTTTTAAATAATTTTTGGCGAAATATTTAAAGGCCACTAAACGTGGATTTTTTAAATAATTTTTGGCGAAATATTTAAAGGCCACTAAACGTGGATTTTTTAAATAATTTTTGGCGAAATATTTAAAGGCCACTAAACGTGGATTTTTTAAATAATTTTTGGAAAATATTTAAAGTCCCCTAAACGTGGATTTTTTAAAATAATTTTTGGAAAATATTAAAAGGCTCCTAAACGTGGATTTTTTAAATAATTTTTGGCGAAATATTTGAAGGCCCTTAAACGTGGATTTTTTAAATAATTTTTGGAAAATATTTAAAGGCCCTTAAACGTGGATTTTTTAAATAATTTTTGAAAAATATGTAAGACTCTCAAACGTGGATTTTTTAAATAATTTTTGAAAAATATGTAAAACTCTCAAACGTGGATTTTTTAAATAATTTTTGAAAAATATGTAAGACTCTCAAACGTGGATTTTTTAAATAATTTTTGGCGAAATATTTGAAGGCCCTTAAACGTGGATTTTTTAAATAATTTTTGGCGAAATATTTGAAGGCCCTTAAACGTGGATTTTTTAAATAATTTTTGGAAAATATTTAAAGGCCCTTAAACGTGGATTTTTTAAATAATTTTTGGAAAATATTTAAAGGCCCTTAAACCTGGATTTTTTAAATAATTTTTGGAAAAGATTTAAGGGCCCCTAAACGTGGATTTTTTAAAATAATTTTTGGAAAATATTTAAAGTCCCCTAAACGTGGATTTTTTAAAATAATTTTTGGAAAATATTTAAAGTCCCCTAAACGTGGACTTTTTAAAATAATTTTTGGAAAATATTTAAAGTCCCCTAAACGTGGACTTTTTAAAATAATTTTTGGAAAATATTTAAAGTCCCCTAAACGTGGACTTTTTAAAATAATTTTTGGAAAATATTTAAAGTCCCCTAAACGTGGACTTTTTAAAATAATTTTTGGAAAATATTTAAAGTCCCCTAAACGTGGACTTTTTAAAATAATTTTTGGAAAATATTTAAAGTCCCCTAAACGTGGATTTTTTAAATAATTTTTGGATTTTTTAAATAATTTTTGGAAAATATTTAAAGGCCCCTCTCAGCATTTCTATCAACACAAGATCTGTTATTAAGATGGTAGAGATCGCAACATTCCTTCTGGTACCTCCCTCACATAGGGTTCAAGATTTTGAAAAACAAAATAATTTTGCAAAGATCCTTCCAAATGGTGAAGGTTCTAAAAATTACATTTTTTGTTGGAAGCACCTATTATCTTCTCTTTAATAATTTAAATTTCATGTCAGGTAGTATTTAAAGAATTTAACAATAATAAATAATTGTAATCAATTACATAAATAATTTATATAAAAAAATGCAACCTTACAACATTTTCTTCTTTAAGTAAATTTAGAAATAATAGTACTAACTCGAGCAATTATCTAAGAGATTTGATTTGATTTTTCCAATTTATATTAGAAATATTTTTCGTCCTCTCCCTCTTTGTCTTCGTGGTATCTCATTTTTCCTACAGCTTAACATTTGCCATTTCCTGAGACAAATTCAAATTCGCCGCATCCTCATTCAAAATCCTTTCAAAGTCTATGACAATTTTCTTCTGTCGCGGTACATAAGGTATACACTCGATACCGGCCCTTGCAAACATAAGACGCGATGCCCGATATATTGGTTTTTCGGCATATTTATCGGAAATATAATAAACTTTCGTTATGCCCGATTGCACAATCAACTTGGCACATTCATTGCAGGGAAATAGTGTGGTAAAGATTCGTGTACCCTTCAGATTGGCACAATTCTTATTCAGGATGGCATTTGCCTCAGCATGTACCACAAACATTTTCTTGTCATTCATTGGATCGAGTTGTTGATCCTCTTCGAGTAGATCTTCAATTTCCGATGCCTTATACCAGGGGAATTCATCATCCTCACAGCGACTGGGAAAGCCATTATAACCAATGGCCACAATGCGATTGTCTTCATTGACAATGACTGCTCCCACCTGGGTTACCGGATCTTTGCTGCGCTGTGCCGACAACACCGCCGTGGCCATAAAATAATCTTCCCAATGCAGATAGGCTTGTCGTTTGCAATTTATTAGAGGTGTCAATTGTGGGGGGGATGATTTCGATTTAAAGCCATTGCTGGTCATGATGTCACAGAATTGCTGGAAGCAGAAAAGGGGAAGGAAAATGAGTAAGAAATAAAATCAAAAAACTTTTTTTAAGGAATAAGGACCAAGAAAATCCTTTTCGCTTTCAAAAATGATTATCTGATTTTTTTCAAATATCCAAAATATTTTTTTATTATTTTTTTTTTTCAGAAAATATGGATTTTTAGAGAATATGTATTTCAAGTACCAATTTTTTAAGGACTTTCTACAGAACTTTATTTTCAAGGAATACAACAAGGAATACAATTTTTCCCAGGAAATAAGCATTTTTAGAGAATATTTTTTTTTTCAGTACCATTTTTTTAATTTTCCAAAGGATTTTCAACAGATTTTTTTTAAGGAATAAAAAATTTTCTCTTTATAAACGTAAATATTCCCAAAAACCAAAATAATTTCAAAAAAATATTTCTAAAAAAAAAAATTAAAAAAAAAAAAAATTTAAAAATTTAATTTTTTTAAGGACTAAACTTCCAATCGGGATTTTCTATTTTTTTTTTTTTCAAAGATCGAAATATTTATTTTATTTTTTTTTTTTTCAGGAAATAGGGATTTTTGGAGAATAATTTTTTCAATTATCAATTTTTTTAAGAATTTTCTACTGAATTTTATTTTCAAGAACTACAAAGTTTTCTTTTGATTACCAACGCTTTGTAAACGTGGATTTTCCAAAGAAAGTTTTTATTTCAAAAAAACCAAAATTAAATAAAAAAAAAATTCCAAAAAAAATTCCAAAAAAAAAACTTTTTTTCCAAAAAATTATTTTTTTAAGGTCCAAACTCCCGTTTACTACCGAAGAAGATTTTCTGATTTTTTATTTTCTTCAAGAACTAAAATATTTTTTTGCAGGAAATTGTGATTTTAGAGATAAGTTTTTACCAGTTTTTTAAGGATTTTCTACAGAATTTCATTTCCAAGGAATACAAAATTTTTCATTGTTTCAGAAAGTTTTTATTTCAAAAACCGAAATAATTTCAAAATATTTTTCCAAAAAAAAATATTTTTTCCAAACAAATAAAATTTTCAAAAAAAAAAAAATTTTTTTCACAGACCAAACTCCCGTTTGCTTCTGAAGGGGATTTTCTGATTTTTTTTTCAAGATTCGAAATTTTTTTTCAGCAAATATGGATTTTTTGGAAAATATTCTTTTCAAGTACAATTTTTTGAAGGATTTTCTAAAAAAAAATTCCAAAAAGAAAATTCCAAAAAAAATCTATTTTTCCAAAAAATTAATTTTTTTTTAAGGACCAAACTTCCGTTTGCTTCCAATTTTTCAAAAAATATTTTTTATTTTTTCCATTAAATAGGGTTTTTGGAGAATAATTTTTAATTACCAATTTTTTAAGATTTTTTTACAAAATTTCATTTCCAAGGACTACAAAATTTTCCATTGATTACCAATGCTTAGTAAACGTGAATACTCCAAAGCATACTTTTTTCCAAAAACAAAAATAATTTCAAAATATTTTTCAAAAAAAAAAAACATTTTTAAAAATAATCTATTTTTTCCAAAAAAAAATAAATTTTTTCAAGGACCAAACACTTGTTTGCTTCCGTAGGGAATTTTTTTAATTTTTAAAAACCGCCGTGAGAGTGTGTCGAGGAAGTCTTGAAAATTCTTTAAAAAATCCGCTTGGGTAACTCTTGAAAGTTCTTTAAAAAATCCACATTTGAGGGTGTCTAAGAAGTCCTGAAAATTTAATAAAAAAATAGAAGTTTGGTAAGCTCGTGGATGTCTCGAAAAAATCTTCAATAACTCGATTTTAAAAAATTTTTAAAAGTCTAGTTTAAGGGTATCTAGAGGATGCTTCCAATTTTTTTAAATTGACGTGAGAGTATGTCGAGGGTGTCTTAAAAATTCGTCAAAAAAATCCACGTTTGGGTAGCTTGAGGAAGTCTTGAGAATTCTTTAAAGAATTCTTTAGAATTCTACTCAAGGATATCTAAATAGTTTTTAAAAAACCTATGTTCGCATAACTCGAAGATGTCTTGAAATTTTTTTTTAAAATCACAGTTTAGATAGCTCGAGGATGTCTCGAAAAAAATCTTCGAAAACTACACATTTGGATAAATCAAAGATTGGCCATATCTAGGATTTTTAAAAAACAAATCTTAAAAAATCCAAGTTTTGAGAGCTCAACCTTTTCAAAAACTTCACGTTTGAGTAACTTAAGTAGGCCTCAAAAAAAAAAAATATTCAAAAAATTCTCGTTTGGATAACAGGGAGAGAGTCTAAAAAATCCACGTTTGGTGATTTTGAGAATAATTAAAAAAACGTTTTGAGTGGTAACAGGTCGTCTAAGAAATGCATTTATTTTCTCTTAAGGCGGCAGCACATTTCCACCACTTTGGAAAAAATATTGAAGAGTTGGCTATCCATGGCATCCGGTGGGGCCACTTATTCTTTTGATATGGCTTTTTGACAACAAATCTTCAATCGTTGGCTCTTCAGAGCACACATTTGAATTGTCGTACTGGAACATCAGATCTGCCATAAATAGATCTAGCCCAGAAAAGATGGGCCTTTTAGATGTATATTCTAAAATGTACAACACTTTAGGACCCTAGGCATCTACACCAGGAAAGATGGCCCTTCAGAGAACCTTTAATAGACGACTAGATGGCCTAAAGAGTATTCTATTCAAGTCTAGAAAACCTAGAGTACCATCAATTCTAGACCTCACAGTCTAAGGGACCATAGTTTTATGCGGTCTATATGGCCCTCTAGCTCTTCTAGGCTTGTATAGAAAATCCCTTAAGCCATCTCCTAATCTGGAATATTACAGCTTTTTCCTTAAATATTAAACATCATTAAATATATTTAAATATAAGTCTATATTTCGATTTTGGTTGTGAATACTAATAATTGTAATTTCTCTTTTTTTAATAAATCTACAACATAATATTTTATATTTTTGCGTTTTTATCTATTTGTTTTTTTTTCATATCATAACATAGAATAAATATAAATTTTATTAAATGGAATTTGTTGTGTTTGAAAATAAACATTAATAAATTGAGGGAGATAATAATTTCAATAGAAAAAGAAAACGTAAAGCAAAAGTAGAAAGAATACTTCAAAAGACAAAACAATGCAGTCGCCTGCCGTAAATCCGAACAAAAGCCCTAAAATCTAAACTTTTAGATTAAGGGGTGTAATCTTTTGAACCGCATCTTTTGCCAGCATCCCACGTAGACCTTATGCTTTTTGGGCCTTAACGGGAATGGGATTTTGTTTTAGATGTAAATAAATGGAACGCATACGTGATACATCCTTGCCGGACTTATTAACTTTGGGATTGAAATCACACAGTTTGGCAATACGTTCCCATTCGGTGCCTGGTTCCATGGCTCCGCCATTTTCCAGGGCAGCAGCTTGCTTCTCGGCATTACGGGCAGCTGCTTTTGTCTTTGCAATGGATTCTTCGGTTTGACGCAACCAATCTTCCAATTCTTTTTTGGCCTGTTGACGTAGCTCTTCCTTTTTGCGTTCCTCCTCGCGATCTTTCTCTTCGAGACGTTGTTGCTGCTCCTCACGCCATTTGCGTATCTTTTCGGGTTCAATACGGGATGGTGGGGGTCCCGAAATGGGATTTATTTCATTATTATCACCACCAATCATTTCGAAGCTGCCGGTAGATGATTCAAGGCCACCACTGCCGCCGCTACCACCCAACTCATTGATGTCACCACCCAGAAGGCCAGCATCATCGGACACAGCAGCGGCGGTTTTAATGGCGCTAGTAGTACCGCCACTGATCTCCGCTTCTAGATCACCCAAAATGGCTTTTTCTTGGGCCAAAAACTCAGCAGCTGGATCAACTTCCTCGCCGGCTGTGTTGCTTGCGGGTGCTACGAAATCATCACCGAAATCCATAATTTCTCTGTACACATCAGTTTCACAGTTACATATACGGTTATCATGGTTGGTTGATTGGTCGGTTTGTTGGGTTGATGACACATCAGAAATCAGTAGAAAAAGAAAAGAACAGAAGATAAAATTTTTGGGGGCGTTCATCAAAATGTAATCTTGCAGGATTTCTTAAATTCCATTCAACTCTTACCTTTTGTATTCCTTTGAAATCAGCAATAACAATTATATGTTAATTTATTTAATAAACTTTCTTATTCTCTGCTAATTATTAATGTTTCTTCTTTGACTTTGTTTTTCCTTCTGCTATTAAAAGGTTTTTTCTTTTCAATGTTTTAACTCTCTCTCTCTCCCGCAGAGAACACACACACAAGAGAGTAAGCAGTTACTCGGGTAATTGGTACATTAAAAGCCAAAAAAATGCAACTCTGTGTCGGGAGAAACGTCAACAAAGGCCGTTGGCGTATAACACAAAGATTTTATTTAATTGGCAAATATGAAGAAACGAACTAAATAAACATGGTAAAAATAATTAATTTTATTTAGAATCACTTAATTCATAATATTTTTAGATGTAGAACACATATTATTCGCACAACTAAGTCATTTCGCACAATATGCCATACGGCAACGAAGTGTAGTGTAATTACGACCTAAACAAAATATTCTCCGCAAAACACATGTAAACACGTAGAACGACATGTGAGGAAAAGAAAACAAAAATAGGGCAACACAAACGCCAACTTCTCACACAATCTTAAATATTTACAAGGATATTGTTGTTGTATCGTTTATAAAATATATGTATTTTGCCATACCCACTTAATTTATTTTCGACACTTGCAATTTACTCACCTTTATTTATATATTAAATAACAAATGAATGGTAATAACTGATATGTTATTCAGTCGATTTCGTTAAGAATTTAATTAATATTTCGTCAAAAATATACACAACACTAAAGAACAACCCGTAAAACCAAAAAGAAAACAAATACAAATAAGAATTGCACTGACGTTGATGGTTGATGTATTTTTTGGCGCCAAAAATGTAAGGGTTCACAAGATACGATTTTGGTGGATATCATTTCAGTTTGAGTGATAGAAGCTGCTATTGGAAAGTTTTAACTTTCGCACTATAGGTAATTGCTGGGCCCAAATACGCTCGGCTTTTGTCTTCAAAAGTGTAACTATTGATGTTTTTGATTGATTTTTAAAATTTGTCTAATTTGAAATAATAAAAATTCATAATACATATTTCCTAAGCAAAATGAGACCTAGATTCTGAAACAAGTCCATTATTTTCCATCTGCTATAATACTAAACGATATAAATCATTAAATTGGCGTGTAAAAATATATTTGCTTTGTTTCTTTACATTTTAAATGGTAGAAGTTGCAAAAATACTAAAGTGTAAACACGGCTTAATTTTTAATTTTGCTATTATTTTATGTAAAGTAACATGTTTAGAGTAAAAATTTGCAAAAATTGAAGATTCTAGCATAGGAAAGGAAGGCAGCTAATATTACAAACCTCTTGATTTGTTTTTTTTTTATAATTTGAAATGGGATATTTCATGCTATGTTTAATTTCATTTACAATTTGCCGACACCAACGGCTCCTGTCGTCTGATTTCGTAATGCTTTTTTATTGCTTTCCTTTTTTTAATTTTTGAAGTAATCTGCTATTATTTTATTATTTCTATTAAACAATTCAAAGTGCATAACCCCCATTTCACGGCAATCTTTCATTCGCTTATAGTCTTTCATTCGAACCCCAAAAAGTAACCGATTACTCACAAAACGTAAAACTATTTATCGAAGAGAGAATCTGGCAACACTTCCGATACAAATTGATACAAATTGTAGGGATCTGTAGATGAGTAGTGGGATTCTCTAACTCATTTTTTGAGTTACCGACAAAAGTCGGTAAAATAAAAACGCAAATTATGAATAAAAAGTATAAATTAAAGTACATAACATTGATAGGTAGGGCCTAGCTACTACCATATGTTGCTCGTAAATTTGCGGAACATATTCGTTAATTACCGAAGATATAAGCATTTTGATTTTAACGATTTTTGTCGATAACTCAAAAAATGAGTTAGAGAATTGCATCTCTGATCAAGAATCCGCAATTTTTTTCAAAATCATAAAGGAAAAAAAATATTTTAACTGTAACTTTCAAAAAAAGATGTTTGTCTGAGGTACATGTCAATTTATGCCAAGTTATTATTTAAAATGCTGAAAATTTTTACAATCAGTTTTGTTGACAATTTTTGGAACCAGAAGGTATTTTCTCTTTTTCAGAATCTGCACGAATCGACTGTTTTCTTCGATGTCATATAGGAAAAATCAGTTATCGTAGTAAAAACTTTTCCATTCTGACTGTTCGATATTATAAAGAAATAATAGGTTATCATAGTCAAAATCTTTGGTTATATCAATTTCCAGAACACAACGTTACAGCAATATATATATTTTTTAAATTTTGATATATTGCTAGTTATTGCTCTGTTCCAGAACCTGCAAGTTTTGCATTTTTTTATTATATAAAAGGGAAAATCGGTTACCGTAGTAAAAAAATTTCACATTCAGAACTTTTTTACTAAGATCGAAAAATCGAAAAAATGCAAAAATAGTAGATCCTTGCGGGTTTCGGAACAGAGGAAAAATATGGCATTTTTATGGGAATATCGAAAAAACTTTGTCTGTTCCAGAACTGCAAGAATTTTAAATTTTTTACAATGATAAGCGATTTTCCCTTTATTATATCGAAAAAAAAATGCAAAACTATTAGATTCCTGCAGGTTCTGGAACAGACCAACTGTCTCCTTATGGTTTTTGTTTGAGTCCATTAAAAATTATTTTCAAATAATTTATATTTACTTCTGCAATATATTTCTTCTTTACCTATAAATTACCTATAAACGACGAGAATATTGAAAAAAAATCATAACTTTCATCTACAATTTGCTTTCTTTAATGATAACGACGTTGTTTAGGAAATTCAGAGCAATGGAAGTGGCAGTTGTAATCTTCTGGATTTCTTATGTGTGAGAATATGTATTAGCAGATGATTTTTCCCGAAATCCATCATTAAATTTGGCAAATTCGTTGATAAAATGCAGATGGAGTTTATTTTAAATAAACATTCTCGCCCATTCCATGCAACTCACAAAAAAATCGAATTATCGATTAATCGACACATCGATCTTTAGATCCCTTGCAATAACGCATCTGGCAACTCGAACAGTCATATCTAAAATGGCGCTGTTATGAGAAGAACGAAAACGAAGAACCAAATTTTATAAAATAACAACGAAATTACTAAAGAAATTCAATAAAACTTTACATAATACAATAGTGTAAATAGTGCTGAACATGAAGCGGGTAAAATTTTCTCACAGAAACATGAATTAATGTGCAAATTTTTCATAGAAAAGTAACAACAATTAGAAGTGTTCAGCGTGTGTGATTGATGATAGAAGACAATTTACCAAGAACGCGATACACATACATACACAAACCTTCCTATAGAGTATATTTGTAAATGTGTGCGAACGATGAAAAGAACCCCAAAATAACAAAAAGAAAAAAATAGAGGTGGACAATTACGCGAAGACAAGAGAAAACGTCAAAAAAGTTGATAGGAGAAGAAAAAAAATAGCAATCGAAGACGGCGCACAGGTTATTCTTGTGAAGGGAAAAACTAGAATAATTTCGCGGATTTGGATGTGGAGCTATATTTTGTAGACAACAAAATAGTGGAAAATTATTGGATAGAAGTAGCTAAGCTAACGTTTAGGTAGGTACCATGGCATTTTATGTAATTGTACAAAAACATGGGAGATATTGCAGCAGCAAATTTGTTGTTGATGATGGATTATGATGAAAATAGTCAAAATATATTTTTGTTTTGTTTCGTTGTGTTCCATCAAGTGCAGCAGCCAACAGCAGCAGCGGTTGGGCAAAGCACGAGTGTGTGTGTGTGAGTGAGTCACCATGGACCCCAATTCGAGTCCCTGGCCATATGCTTATAACCGAATAGTGCCGGCGGGAGGTAGCAGTGGTTCTGCCGATGATTTTCAACATCCACATTTGGCCTCGAGTGCCCAGTCACTGCTCTTGCAGGCCCATACAAATATTGCCGCTAATATTGCGGCTGGTGGCGGCAGTTTTGTATCACCCTCACCCATCAGCGGCTATAATCCAGTTTTCCAACAAATCTATCATCATGCTGCCGCCGCCAGTGCTGTACAACCGAAACCTGCCCACTACGCCTCGTCGGCTGTTAATACAGCACATCGACAATTGCAAATACCCGCCACATTGGATAAACAATTAACCTCATTCCAAAATCAAGCTGCCATAGCGGCCGTGTCCTCCGCTGCAGCGGCTGTTGTGAACAATGCAGCGGCGGCGACAAATTACTATGGTGAAAACTCATCGTCGAGTGGTGCCTCGCCATCGCCCACAACCTCAACAATAACACCGACAACGTTAAGTTGGAATTCGCCATCAATGATATCGAATACATTTTTGGCAATGCAACAGCAGCAGCAGCAACAACAACAGCAGCAGCAACAACAGCAGCAACAACAACAGCAGCAGCAACAAGCTCAACAGCAGGCGCAACAGCAAGCCCAACAGCAGGCGCAGCAGCAACAACAGCAGGCTCAACAGCAGGCGCAGCAGCAACAACACCAGCAACAATTGAATTTAGCTGCGGAAAAGGTGGTGAGTTAGTAGTATGTAAATATGTATATGTATTTATTATTATTGTTAATTATCACTATCATAAATCTCTATGAATTTTGAGAGAGAGCGCAAGCGTGGCAGTTAGGCAAGCTGCAATGATCTCTTCATCTTCGTTCATATCATTGGCATCATGTCTTCTTTGGAGGAATTATCACAAATGTTACCTTGAACTTGACATAGACGACATACTTTCTGTTAGGGATACACATTTCATTACACAAAACACTTTCTTTCGAAACAATACAGTAATGTTTGCAATACTGTTTAATTATTTGTAATATTAGATTATTTAGATTATTTGTTTGAGGGTCAGAAGACTCGGAATAGTTCATTGAAGATTAGTTGGAAAGGCAATTGAATGAAGAACTTTCCCCATCACTCTTACTCCTACTTCCTCAGTTCCTATTATACAACTTCTTCTGGGTCTGAATCCTCAACGGAAAAGGGCTCAGTTCTATTTTAGGTCCCCCTGTGAATGATTGTAATGTTTATCATAAGTAGATGCGAAGAAAATATACCCATTTTTCTTGATCAATCATAAAAAATAGAAGAAGGGCTCGTATGGTACATTGAGGCAAAATGTCGGGAAGTATGGAGGAACGAACGTTAAATTTAATATCGTAATTCAGGGCTCTAAGTGCTCCTTGTGCCCATTTTTAAAATAAGTCAAATAGAAAGGGCCCCGTATATTGACATTACGATAGCGATCGAAGATTACTTTTAAAACATTCCGCAAACTTATCAAAGGTCCACCAACAGCCCTCATTAAAAGTGCCCTAACGTGGTTCAATGGCAGATTTTTGATCCATTGTGTTCTTCCTAGAAAACGCCAAACGCCATAATTTTTACATTTTTTTAAATTTTATTGACCGAAAGTAAAAAATGTCGGAAATAGCATCAAAATTTAGAATACGTTTAGATTTTTTCGAATTGGTCACCATTGGCACGAATTATGGCCTTCAAACGGCCAATGAAACCGTAACACGCTGCCCGAATGTTGCTCTGCGGTATTTTGGTCCATTCCCGGCGAAGCGCTTGCTTGAGGTGACTTTGGTATATTTTAGTACCAACGGATTGGTAGCGAGGAACCTCATTTTGTAACCATTCTTGGGTGGCGCGTGCTGAGTCCTGTTGGAATGTCCAAGGTATATGGCCAAAAAGTTTGCTTTGCGTGCCCTAGGCTTTAATACACCCTCCAGAATATTTTCGCGATAATATTCGGCACTTATTCTGATGGCACTTATTCCATGATCTATTAATACGAGTGGAGAGCGACCATCGGCTGTTATGGTGGCCCCCACCATCATCATGGCCGGCGCTTGAGTTCTAATGGCCAGCCGAATGTGCACATTTTCAGCTGACCTCTTTGGCAAGTAAACACGAAACCCCAATTCGGCAGTTCACCACTTTCAGCCAAGCGAAACAACTCTTTAGCCCTCTTGAGTCTTTTTGGGATTTCAATGGCTTTACCCCGAGCTCAATTTTTAATATTTGCCGAGTGGAATATTGCGATATGTTCAGCTCACGATCCACTTTTCGGCCACTGCGACGCGGCTTTCGATCAAGTCGCTTCTTTACTTTTCGAACCATTTCTGCTGATGTTGCTGTTTTCTTCCGTCCACTTCCTTGACTTCGGGCTAAGCTGCCAGTATCACGGTAACGAGCGATGGTACGAGACACAAAAGATTTATTCTCATTTAAATGCTGGAGTGCTCTAACGATAGCCACTGCAGGTGCAGCGTATTGTGCGGGCTTGTATCACACGCTGGGCTGAAGTTATGCAAATTTTCGTCAATTCGTGCCCAATACGAATTGAGACTACTACACCATCCTGAACGTAATTGCGCCAAAACTACCCTGGTTTATCCAGGCAGCTGACGTTCTTCCGCTGCAATGGATGGGGGATGGAGACCGAGGACGGCATACATCCGGTATTTGATGGTGGCATCCGCGACTGTATCAGTACGAATGCCACTCAGATCTGCCTGATAGGCTTCTTGATCTAGAGATTCTCTCTTACAGCGCTGATCCTACCTCTCTAGATCGTGTATGTCCTTTCTGATACCTTCCTGGGTGGGGGAGTTTCATCCACCATATGGTAGTGGGATGACTCCCACGATAACACCCAAGCAGATACTGCAACGAAAGCGTATGATTATGCTGACGTAAGGGAGGAACTTTCGCCTCCTCATGTAGATGGTCCACTGGTGTCATGAGGAGGCATTCTCAGGGCAGCTATCTGGCAGGTCTGGATGTGCTTCCACTGCGTAGCACTAGTTGTTTTTGCAGACCACACTGGAGCCGCATTGCTGACCACAGACCGACCTATCGCGTTAGAAGAGGTAAATAAGGTTTCTTTGTCCACACCCCAAGTGCTGCCGGCTAGCGCCTTGAGGACTTTGTTCCTACTTTTCATCTTGTCGCAAATAGAGTGTTATTGGTAGGGTGATTTGCCCAGCCAGGAAATGATTTCAGAAAAACTTCAGAAGGTGATGGTATCTACATCTGGGAAGTATGTTAGAGAATCTATATCCCACCTACCCAAAAGCCTATGTCTGCTATTTGACAACATGCGACATTTGCATAGTAGGTGTTAAATGGTATCTTTCATTCTCATCCTTCATCCTCTTTCTAGTCTTGACCACTGAATAACAGTTTGAGATCAGATATCTGATACGGTGCTTTTAAAGCCTCAACAACCGGTAGATCGCGAATTTATATGTTTGTTAGAAACCCAACAGTGATCAATGAATCCATGTATTTCAAAGAGAGATTTCTTGCAATCAACATGAGCTCTAGATAAAATGCACTTGATAGCTGTAAGAGTTGCCTTAGATAGTCACTGGTCCTCGATGTTCCTGCTCCTGGACTTTGGTCTCCCGATATCAATTCAAAAGCCAACATTGAGGTTCACAAGGAGATTCGTGTACAATCTCCCTACTGGGAAGAGATTCACAAAAATCTTTTGAGTTTTTTTGCTTTGTTTTGAAATTTCCCTGAACCAGATTCCTCTTAATTTTCTTTTTCTGCCCCAGCAAGAAAATATTTCAAGCATTGCTTCAAAATTAATTCCAGATTCACAAAATATAATATCCATCTAAAGTCATTTTGACTTAGGTATTTCAAGATTTGGCGGGGCTATAAAATGGCGCTGATATGTGATATGTGACAGAATGTCACATCTGTATCCCGTTGTCCGCCAAAACATATAATTTAAATTAATTACTATTTTCATTTTCGGGGAAAATTGCATACGGTTTGAATTGTTGGGCAAATGAATGACCATAAATGCACATCTTCCGTTACCTTACCACAAGTAATTAGCCTTTAGAGATAACATTTTATCCATACATTGACAGGCAATTAATTTGTCTCAGATGAACTCAGCTAATTTTGATTTCGATGGAAATTTCTTAGCTAGGTATCCATCGAGACCAAGATGAATTTTAAAAAAATTATAATGAGATAAGGAAATAAGGAATTAATTATCAACTTCCCTTTCAAGAAGAATGACATTCTATTTGCAAGACATTGATTCCGGGAATCATCAGATAAGATCATTGTCACTCTTTCGGATAATTACAAATCATTTGTCTAGCAATTGATGTTAAATGAAGCACTAACTGCATCTTCATTTTAAAGACATTTCTTATCGTCCAGCTGAATTAGAATTCAAATTATAAAGAAATAGGTCAATACGACTTCTACAATTTTCATACAAAATTGACTCAATATGTATTAGTCGAGTATGATGATCAAGATTATGAAACCTGGAAATTTATGGTCTGTTCCAGAACTGCAAGAATGTAAAAGTTTTTACTACGATAACCGTTTTTCCCTTTGTGATATCGAAAATTTTTGCAAAACTAGTAGATTCTTGCAGGTTCTGGAACAGAGCATTAATTCAAAATCGGAAAGAATGTTTTATTTATCCATAAATACTTTTAAGGATGCGATATTAGAGGAAACGAAAAAACTCCTTTTTTAAATTTTAACGCTTATCGGATTTTTAAAGAATATTTTTTTCTGGGGACTTTAAATCGTACAGAGATTTTGGAATTTAGATTTATATTTTTTCAAAGGAACTACTTTTTAGTTTTAAGAATATTTTTTTAATCTTGGAATTTTTAAGAACGTTTTTCCAAGGACCTAGATTCTTGTTTTTTATAAGTATATTTTCCCAGAACCAGAACTAAAAATGTTTCAATATTTTTCTCAGGACCTACATAAGTGGAGATTTTTAGGAACATTTTCCCAATGACTTTTTCGCGGATTTTTAAAAATATTTTTTTTAAGAATGTATCATTTTAAAATTTTTGAGGAACATTTATGTAAAGGATCGTTAATTAATGGATTTTTATAAATTCATTTTTTCGGGACCCGATAATAGTGGACTTTTTTATAGATTCTTTGGAAGGATCTGTATTCATGTTCTTTTTTAGAATCTGTAATCAAAAGAGCCGTAATCGAGGATTTTCACGTTTATTTCAAGGATCTGTAATCAAATTGTTGATTTGTGCAAACTGAGTGCTAGATTCAGAAATTCGGCAACCATGCCATGCTGACGAGACAGTCACCGATATCATAAACCAGTGGGCCACAAGAGACCCCTGTTCTATTGCAATTTTGTAATCGAGAATAAGCGCAAAACTTTACTTTTCTGTCGAAAAAATCGGCGTTCGTGAACTGCAAGGGACTCCACTCCACGTCTACAGTAAAATTTCCAACCAAATACATTTTGGATAGTCCACTCCCCCTACATCGAAGCTGCGCTTATTCTCGAATACAAAATTGCAACTACGTACGCATGGTGGAGTCCCTGGTGACCCAGAACCACTTAGAGTTAGCTACTTTTCCGCAATTTTTGGTTAATTAATTTTTTGATAGTTGTCTCCGAGCTGATTTCAACATGCAATTCTGTGTACGTCCAATAATATAGGGGTAAAGAACCTTCGGACAAAACTGGCACGCGACAGTTC